CGCATATAATCGCCACAGTAAAAGAAGAATATAATCCGTATTCTGCAAGTGCACAGTACACCAGAAAAACTTTATTAATGCTGGTCACTGACAACTCAACAATATTACTGTTTTTTACCAACAAAATTATTTTTTATTAGGAAATAAGTATGTTATATTGCAAGAACATCAGATCATAGGGTTTATAAGAAGAGGTGAAGTGATTTCAACATGATTTCCGCAAGATAAGTATAAAACATACATTGAATTTCTTAGATCGAAGTACAACGTAAAACTCTACCACGTCTTTTCTTGGTAACATCAAAGATTAAACGTTATCTAATGAGTCAACGCAAACAATGACTTTTCATCAGCATATTGATTAGTAAAGTGAGTCGGTAGAATCGATGTCAATAGAAATGCAATGATACAATTAGGGGCACAACAGTAGCAGAATTAGAGTAAACAATAAAATAAATTAAGTAAACATTGCGAAAAAGCTACCAGTCATGATTAGAGCTCATCTTTTTCTTCTCCGGTAGGTGTTCCGCCAGCTTCTTCAGCACCAGCACCGCCAGCGTCTTTGTACAATTTGCCAATGATAGGTTGTACTTTACCTTCCAGATCCTGAGACAACCATTATAAGAAAAAATAACTGGAAACAAGAAAAACCAAGAGGGAAACCCACTCACCTTCTTTCGCTCTTGAAGTTCCTCTACTGAAGCTTCACGGTTGCTTTCAAGCCAGCTGATGGTCTCATCTACAGCAGTTTCGATAGTCTTCTTATCATCAGCATCGAGTTTACCACCGAGCTTCTCATTATCATCAATTTGATTCTTCAGCGAGTATGAGTATGACTCCAGTTCATTTCTAGCTTCCACCTGGGTAAAAATGAATATTCATGCCATGAAGCCAAGCGCAATAAACAACAAGATTACCTGCTCTTTGACTTTCTTGTCATCTTCAGCGAATTTCTCAGCGTCGTTGATCATTCGCTCGATATCTTCAGGACTTAGTCTGTTCTGATCATTGGTGATGGTGATCTTGTTCTTGTTTCCAGTACCCTTGTCCTCAGCTGTGACATGGAGAATACCATTAACATCGATTTCGAAGGTTACCTAGAATTTTACTCTGCGTACAAATCGCCTTGTGTCTGTAACCTTTAAACAGGTAGAAAACCCACTTCAATTTGCGGTACTCCCCTAGGAGCTGGAGGGATGTTGGTAAGATCGAATTTCCCTAGCTGATGGTTGTCTTTGGTCATCGGACGTTCTCCTTCGTAGACCTTGAACCAAGTTTTTATAAATTCAAAAATTACAGTAGAA